CCCACACACACCCCTCCCCACGATTCTGTCAGCTCCGTCCCACATAATAAAACCCTTCGGTTAAACTAGCAGGAATGCACGCTATTGTCTGCAACGAAAGGGGATGACCCCTACATCTATGTATGATCCCTTTCTTCTCTACACTGCAGCCCGACAAGCCCCTACACGGTGCTCCTCAGAGCACAGCCGCACACTGATGCCGCCTCGGGACTTCCCAGTCGGAGCGGGGATGACGGACAGGAGCAGCGCCTGCTTGGAAGCTGTGGCAGCCGTTCAATATTGGGCGACATCCCAGCACAGGGCCGTTTCCTGCTAATTATTGCATTTACAAACGGTTTGGTCCACAACAGACAGTAAAAAACAAATCTGGCTTTCTGCCATAGTTTTAGAAACACTGGTCTAAACACCAATCGAAGTACACCATCCCCCTGGTTTAAACATGTTTTTTTCTTCCTCTTCTTAAAAAAACTGATTTCAGAGGGAGGAAGGGAGAGGGAGAAACAGAGGGATACATCAATGATGAGAGAGAATCATCCATTGGCTGCCTCCTGCATGCCCCCTACTGGGGATGGAGCCCAAAACCTGGGCATGTGCGCTGACTGGGAATCAAACTGTGACCTCCTGGTTCATAGATCGAGGCTCAATCAGCAGCCAAGCCTAGCTCCTGCTTTAACCCCCACTGAATGATCTGAATCTTACCCAGCCCGGTGACCCTGCAAACCTCATTTCCTACAACCCTCCTCCTCTGTTGGGGCCACAGTGGCCTCTCACCTCACGGGGGCCTCAGGGCTTTTGCACCAGCTGTGCCGCTAGACCACAGCGACCTGTTTCATTCTCACACCATGGGCCCTGTCTGGAGTTCCGAGTCACTTCTTCACTGGCTTGCTGTCTGTCTCTCATCAGATATGAGCTCCACGGGGGAGGGAGCTGTGTCTGTCATGCTCCCCTGGGTCCCCACCTAGAGAACAGCCCATGGCCTGTCACGGTGAACGAGAACGCTCTCCTGCATCTGCCTAATGCTACCACTTTCTGGGTGAGCCTAGTCGGCTCTGGCCCACGGTCACCTCTGCCTCATCTGACATCTACTGGAGGAAGAGAAAACGACCCCAAGCAAGTCACTCCCTCATGATTTTGCCTTCATACAGTTTATCTCTACGGTGGACTGTACTCTCTGCATTTAAAAATGCATCTTCCATGCTGCCTCTCTAGCTTTGCCAGCCCTCAACACTGCTGTGCACGCCGCAGACAGCTCTGCAAAGGCTGCAGGGACATTCTCTTGGTTTATTGACTGGTCCCAGTATTTAACGGTGCTACTCAATATTCTCATCGTCCAAGCGAGTAAGTGAAATGAATTCTGATCCTACTAGAAAAAGCTTTAGTGATTGATTTGATTTTCAGTAAGTCAGTGTCAGAGCAAGAGCAAACAATGACTAAGTGTCCAGGCAGTTGAGGCACTGAGCTAGGGCCAGGAATAGGAAGGCCAGGGTGGCGTAGGGCATCACGGTTGAAGTTTCTGAGTCAGGCTTGACTTTAAGGTCTGGCTCTGTTACTTATGAACAACTTAGCTTTGGGTTACTACTTACTCCTTCAGGTCTCACTTTCCTCACCTGTAAACTGGGGATGAGGATAAAAGTGCCAACCACAGCGGGCTGCCAAGAGGCAAGGTGTGGGGTGATTAAGAACACTCACTCGGGAGCCAGCCTAGGTTCAGACCCCAGGTCTACCGCTTCCTAGGTGCAGAGCCTTGGACAGGTTACCCATCTCTCTGTGCCTCAACTTCTTCATCTTTAAAATGGGGATAAGGACAGCATGTGCCTGATAGGGCTGTTGTGAGGGTAACATGAGTTAACTCCTCTAAAGTGCTAAGCACAGTGCCTGGCATGTGGCTAGCATTCATGAACTAGTAGCTTCTACCAGTCACCGCATTTCATCAATGATCTAAGGGAGACCTTTTGTGTTCAGTTTAACAGCTCTGAAGTCAGGATGCATGTTCCAGGACTGTGTCTGACCATCGCTGCTGGCCGCTTTCCCAGGTTCTGACCCCTCTGACACAGGCCGGCCTGTGGACGACACCGTGTTTGTGTAGCGAGTCACCCACAACTGCACAGCCTGTTCCACAGTCTCTCCCTGGAGGCAGGTACTGGAAGAAATGGGTGCAATTTCCCCAATGATACAGTTCCCCTACTGCTGAAAATTACACACTTATTTCTGAACAAAGCTTTCTCAAATGACCCTCTGGCCTTGAGTTCTGAACTATCCACTGTAGGAAGCAACATTCAGAATTCTAATGTGAGCACTTGTCTCACACTGAGAACTGTCCCTGAACCAAGGAGGCAGTTAGGTAGGTTCGCCCAGAGTAAAAGCTGGGCTTCCTGGCACCAACATTACTGTAGGGAACCGGCGAGGCCGAGTGTTGATTCTCGGCTGCATGTGCGCCAGCCTGCACTCTCTTAGTTACACACACACAGGATGGAGTGAAGGGCCGCGGCAGGCAGCAGGTGTTAGGAAACGTAATCACACGGTAACACCGCATTTACCCGGGCCCATGCGGGGCAAGTGAGATTCCCAGGTAAACGAGTTTACTTCTTCAACTCTTCTCTACTGTGATAATTTTAAACGGGACTCTGAGAAGCATCGGGTTCACTGTCCTGCCTTTCCTCTGTGCGCAGTGGAGTGGTGGCCGCCACCACCCACCGTGTGGCCTGCCTTTTCTAATTGTCCTGTGGAATCTGGAGACTCGCAGCTGTTTGCCCAGATGGCTCTCGACCTCTGCTGTTGTTTTCAGACGCACGTGTAAGCTCCATATTCTCAGCCTCCCCAGGATGAACTGTCCCCTGTCACTTTCTGCTATCGCTGGTGTGCCAGGTTCTAGAAGCTCGCTCTAAGACAGCGGTTCTCAACCTGTGGGTCGCAACCCCTTTGGGGGTCGAACGACCCTTTCACAGGGGTCGCCTAAGACCATGGGAAAACACATATATAATTACATATTGTTTTTGTGATTAATCACTATGCTTTAATTATGTTCAATTTGTAACAATGAAAATACATCCTGCATATCAGATATTTACATTACGATTCATAACAGTAGCAAAATTACAGTTATGAAGTAGCAATGAAAATAATTTTATGGTTGGGGGCCACCACAACATGAGGAACTGTATTAAAGGGTCACGGCATTAGGAAGGTTGAGAACCACTGCTCTAAGAGCTCTATTTTAAATAGGGTTAGACCAAGAAACCAGATCTAACTCTGTTAGAATTGTATTTAAAACAAGATTAAACCTATGAATAAAATACACATTTTGTAATGATAAGAAATACCCTAGAGCCCCAGATAGAAATCTTCTATTTTCCCAAAAAGATCCAAAAGCTTTTGCATCCAAACATCTTACATCGACTTTTATGCATGTAGAACAATGTGTCCACGTATTTTTAGTCACATGTGAACTCTACTAACGAGCCGTAATGCTTTTCCCCACTCTCCCGCTTCATAAAACAACCCTGTGTGCCCTCCCGCAGGCGTGCTCAGCGTGGGTGTCCCCACGGCAGCGCAGCGTGACCTGCAGTTCTGCAGAGACACCCGCTTCCGTCTGGGCTGGGCCGGCCGTTTGAAAGCATCTATGGTGCTGCCGCAAACCTTCCATCCCAAGCCAGCAGCAGTCCCCCCCGTGACATGAGGAGGTTCTTCTCTCCTTTGGCCCATAAGCACGGTGTGACCTGTGAAATGCAGCACTTCCTCTGGGCTTTCTCAGTGACATTTACAAGGCTCACGTGTCCTGACAGCTAACACAACGGTGAGGTCACAGGCCCCGGGACCGTTGTTAAATGTGGGCCAAACATCTGCTCCTCCTCTCCATTCCCCTCAGGTGACCTCTGTAAGCCTCCAAAGCCAGCCCTGGTCAGCCTCCGCTCCCCCCCCCCTCGCCCCCCCATGCTCTCCTAAACAGGGCTTCATTGTTCAAAACAAAGCTAATGAATGAGCACCCTGTCTGTCACTCGGGAGACTTTGGAAGGATCCAGATATAAGGAGGTTCCCTCTCATGTGAGGGATTCTTTGGGGGGCGAGCCCCACCTTACTCTGAGGCAAGAAAAGAACGTGGATCAGCAGCAGAGCCCGGGGAAGAGGGACCCTCACGGTGGGGACCACAGTGCGGAGGCCCCGGCTGTCCTGCGCGCCATCCTCCTCCCCGCACGGCCAGCTCATGGCTGGCAGCCTTCCTTCTCATTTCAGGATGGTCAGCCCTGTGTGTTTATACTTGACGACTGCCCTCCCATGCACCGACCTTGAGCACCAGCAAGTATGAACTACAGGCTTTACAGTCAGTTCTTACATTAGCTTTCAAAGGAGTCTACGTACCTCGTATCAGTTCATAAACATTCATGTCCATAAGCTCACATATTAGCGCAAGAGAACCAGATTTTCTGTCACTGAAGAAGAAAGCAGGTTTTTGAAATGTTTTCTCATGTCTTAATCAGAAAATATAATCAAATATTTAATTCATCTGTAAACATTTCTTGTAAAGATAAAGCACTCCCACATCAGACAAAGCCTGGAGTGCAATGACTGAACCAGAAGTTACATTTCAGGTAAAATTAATTTAAAATAATAGTAAAACCCTGGTTTAAGCACAAACTCTAAGGGCAGCCCGAGACACCGCAGGCTGCTCAGGGGCCTCCGGAGGGGCCCCCACTGTTTCTCAGGGCTGCCAGGAGGCCCATGCCATTCTGGACAGGGTGCTTTCTAAAGCGCGCGTAAAGCACCTCCCCGCAGCAGAGTCGTGACTGTCACACGCAGACTGTAGTGTCTACACGCAGCCCAAACTGACGGCTCAGCACACCGCAGGCCGGGAGGCCGCACGCTGCAACAAGACAGTGTACACGGAGTTTAAAACCGTTCCGTCCTCTGACGGGCATCTGCTGCACCTTAGTTGTCAGAGACCGCAGTTTCTTGGCAGGTGTTAAAGGCCACGCCACCTTCCCGGGGATCAGCACCGCTGGCCCAGGGAAAGACAGGGCCTGGAACCCCGGCTGAGCCCCACTCTGGGGACAGTGCCTGGGAACCAGCTGTGCCCTGACCTCCTGATGGGTGGTGAGCCTCATGGTCTACAGTTAGACCAGGAATAAACAATCCCCGAAACCGTATCGAGATGTGCCCTGACCTCCTGATGGGTGGTGAGCCTCATGGAAACTGTTCTACAATTAGACCAGGAATAAACAATCCCCCGAAACCATATCGAGAGAGGCTACAGGAAAGGCTACATGAAACTGCAGAGATGAACAGATGACTATGGTAGGGAAGGGAAGCCTATCTCTCCCACCTACCCCCCAATACGACCCAGACCCAGCGGGTCAGGTCGGAGCTCACACCTGAGGCCTCAGGAGCCCAGAGTCACATTATGAATCAGGTGCACAGCTGACTCTCTGGGCTACAAAACAGATCTCTAAAATGCCAACCATGATTTTCTTTCTTAAAAAGAGATTTAACCATTATCACCAAATGTAGATAATTTTTAAAGGCCCGAGTATACTTACAAAACCACTTCATGCAACGTAAGAATGTTTGGGTGTGGATTCAGGCGCCTCAGTGCTTGTATCTCTCGGAGGTTGTTCACTTGCTCAATACTATTGTGTAGGCAAAAATAAACAGCTAATTTATCGTTCAGGTCAACTTGAAAATTTAGGCTATTCAATCATTACTTATCATCCATGATCAGAACTGACAAGCTCACAAATACTTCAAGCAAGTCAATCAGGTTTTATTTCTCCCATTAGCAGTAGAAATTAGGCGTATCGTGTTTGTGCATTATCTTATAAAACTCAAGGTCCTTATAGCTTTGGATATAAATTCAATTTTCCCCCATCTAGCTCCTTGGTAGTTTCTTTTACTATTAATAAATATAAACAGAGATGTTAAAATTTCCTATTAATCAGTTTATGGGAACTAACCAACTAGCAATGTAAAAGCCATGTAAAAATAAGCATTTTAAATTTCCACAAACAGGCCCACCCTTCCTTCCTACTTAAGGCGGTCATTTTTTTCAACTTCCTTCACCTGGTGACAGGTGCTCTCTCAGCAGGTGTGTCTAGGCAGGCTTTCCTTTAAGAAGACAGCTACACCTGACACCCTGTTGACACCCCAAATCCATCAATGCAAGCGTCACTGCGGCCCAGGGCCTGAGGCTGCCACGCTCTCCACGCAGAGCCTGAGGGAGCCTGGCCTCCCTGCCGAGCCTGGGCCCAAGGGCTCACATCCAATGAGGACTCAGGCACCAGAGACTTTCATCTCAGAGGTTCTGAAAGGAAGTGATTGTGCGAATCTTCTCCCTTTGAACTGGTGAAATTCTGTTAACAGAGAGAGGTAAGCTCCGCATTCTGTTTAGTGATGTATCCAATAGTATACTGTTATCTTAAATCAATGTGGCTGCAAACGGAAGTATCTCATGCCAGCCAACCAACGGGAGCCTGCTGTGTAAGAAGAGCCTCAATAGTCTGCGTGTAGGATATTTTTAACTAGAAGTTCAGACCCTTCTTTCATCACTGCCCCGTTTCCCCCTCACACCCAGGATGATATTCAAACTGTTAGCAGCTTGTGCGCCATGGTCAACGAACAACCAGAAAGGACACAGCCCACAACTCGGGAAGAGGGTCCGAAAGGGGGCCCACTAGGTGCTGGCAGATGGCGGTCTAGGGCAGTGATGGCGAACCTATGACACGCGTGTCAGAGGTGACACACGAACTCATTTTTTTGGTTGATTTTTCTTTGTTAAATGGCATTTAGATATACAAAATAAATATCAAAAATATAAGTCTTTGTTTTACTATGGTTGCAAATATCAAAAAATTTCTATATGTGACACGGCACCAGAGTTAAGTTAGGGTTTTTCAAAATGCTGACACGCCGAGCTCAAAAGGTTCGCCATCACTGGTCTAGGGAGTGCCGGGCAGGGGCCCAGCACAGGGCAGGGAGGGCGGCACCCCAGAGGCTCAGGACAGCAGCTCCTCACCACCCAGGACAGGCGGCTTCCACTCTTTTAATCGTGATGGGGAGTCTTCCAGAACTGGGCCAATTTCCTAAACTCACCCATCATGGGTAGATTTTATGATATGCAAATTATATTTCAATAAAGCTTTTAAAAAATCTTATCTCCCCTTTCATTTAGAAACCCTGAACCTCTCTGTTTTGATCAAGTCACATAGCCTTTCTTTGGCTTATTAAAAAAATTCCACCTAAAATACAGTTGCATTTAAAAAAGTAACAAATAGCCCTAGCCAGTTTTGCTCAGTGGATAGAGCGTCGGACTGTGGACTGAAGGGTCCCGGGTTCGATTCTGGTCAAGGGCATGTACTTCAGTTGCTGGTTCAATCCCCAGCCCTGGTTGGGCCCGTGTGGGAGGCAACCAATCGATGTGTTTCTCTCACATCAATGTTTCTCTCTTTCTCTCTCCCTTCCAGTCTCTCTAAAAAAATCATTGGAAAAATATCCTCAGGTGAGGATTAACAAAAACCAAACCAAAACTAAACTAAATAAATATAACGCCAGCTAGAAGGGATCTGGGGGACTGGGTGTTGTATACCAACTTCCATCAGTCTCTGCAAATGCTGCTGCTGCCACGGTGTCCTCGTGCTCCCCTTACCGAAGCTCTCAGTTCTCAGCCTCAGCATTCACTCTGTGTATGACCCAGCCCATTGCTTCCGGGCCTCCGTTAGCATTTGAAGATCCGAACTTGCCATCAGCCCTTGGAGATGACCACTGAGAAGGCCTCCTTTCACAGCGATGATGGCCTCTAGAGTTGACACAGTTTTTCTGCGTCCTGAGGATGTGGTTGGTGTATGCCTCCCATCTACTGGAATCCTATTTGTAGATGAGTTTTGAGTGGGTTGGAGTTCCATTGTTTCTCCACAGGGTCAACTACGGACGGTCCGGCACAGGTGCTTGGTTCCTGCCGCACGGTCAGAGCTTCACAGTGGGAGGCCCTCCACTCTGTGCTGAGGAGTCGATGGCTGTGCAGCTTTCCAGAAGGGGATCAGACGTCCGTCCGATACGCCAGCTCCCAGCACACCCGGGCTCACAGTGGGGGGTATTTCTGCTCTGCAGCTGTTGGAACAGTTTCCCAGGGCTGGTCCGAGGCGTGCCCCGGAGACCAGATCTTCATGGTGCCGGCGACCTGTGCCACGTCCGGGTGGCGCCCTATCTGAGTCTCAGCATTCCGTGCCACGATGTACCGTGATGTTATCACCCGTTCCACTACTTCATCGCATTGCCAGCTTTTTACCACTATGACTGATGCTGTAACAAACATCACTTCTAGGCCCAGATGATTTCACTGACGAGTTATTTCAAATATTTAAGAAGGAAAGACTCTTGGACATTTCACAAAAGAAGAGAGATGAGCTGCCAACAAGCAGGGACTCGCAGACTGGGTCCCACTTGGCTCCACCACCTGCCAGCTGGGTGACCTGGACAGTTGGGAACCTTCTCTCTCTAGCCCACAGCTCCCCACCCTGACAGAAGGCCGCAGGCACCATCCCCCGAGGGCGGCAGCGAGCACCAGTGACAGGCAGCGATTCACCAGGACTGGGCATGGCGGCAGGTGCTTGGTGAGCAACCGCTGTAGTCACCTGGCATGACTTCCTGTCACCGCTACTCATTTCTCACACCACGCACACACGGTGCAGGGCCACTAGACAATGAGAAGTAGAGCAAATGGATTTTTAAAGGAACCCAAAGTTATTCTTCCAGTGGATAAGGGTAAGTTGTTTCACAATGAGGGTGTAGACTGTAGATGGTCCAGGTTTCTCACTGTAAAGTTACTCTCTTTTCCTCTTTATTTTCTGTTCTTTAGAAGCAAGTCAGTTATTGATGTCAGTATGTACTTGTGGTGATTTGAATAGACAGACGGCTGGGTAGATAGGTGGAGAGAGAGAGGTGGGGCGGGGGGGGGGCGGTTAAATGGGTCCGTGCACATACACACTGGCTTCATCTACTGAGGTGATGACATTCCAGGAGCCATGAGAACACCTGGTGCTGAAGTCTTGTTTCCAAGTATCTTTCTCCAGTAAAAGGCGACAAGGCTTTTTTTGGGGGGAGGAGGGGGTTCTAGGGGCCGGGAAAATACAAGATGAGCGACAGAACCTTGTAGTGCTGACGGAATAAGAAAAGGGTGGGCACGTCAGAAGAAACAGAGCCACCCTGAAGGAGCTCCAGTGGCCAGAGCTGGACGGTTTATTAAGTAAATAATGACAGCGTTGCGTTGAACATATGTACCAAGAGCAGGTAAGAGCTCACAAGAATAAACCCAGAGTCCAAGTCCCCTCGGGTCTGTTGCCCGGCTGCAGACACCTGTCCATGAGCCTGAGGTGACCATCATCTAACGTCAGCCACCGGCCACCAGTGGCCCAGGGCCACGCTCCCTTCCAAGGCAAGCAACATTCCAGTGTGGTTCACACTGCAGACACCTCCCCACGCACCCAGACTCGACAGCAAAGCAAAGGAACACAAATCCCGTGGTCCTTTATTAAAAATCTTTACTTATTATGGGCTTTTTTAAAAGAAAAATGTGTTCTAATCAACCACTTTTAAAGTTAAGGCAAAGAGCAAGAATTGTTCTCAACTACATCAAATGATGCCCCATTCAGCAACGAGGCTGCCATCTGTTGAACATTAAGCACACGCCCGCCTTGCTAGCTACTTCCTAGTCCTCCCCTCGCTTGCTCTTCAAGCCCCTCAGACAAGGAAGCCCGGCTCAGGTGCACGAGTGTTACTGATCTCTTCTCTGCAGCTGGCTACACTGATCCTGGTTGAGTTCCGGTCAAGTTCATCCTGTTTACAGCTGGTCTGCAAACTACTGTGCTGTATTATACCATTAGCAAGAACAGCATTCAGTAACAATGGCCCGGACCTTGAGACCCTTGTCCTGCTCACACCAGGGTGCACTTTCGGTGTGTCGGGGACCTGGTGGATGGAGGAACAGCTGGCGTGTCACCGGCAGGAAACCACGTCCTTAGGTGATGCTACCTCCTCCTGAGGGGCGGGGGTTACATGAGTGTCTGCCACCCCTCACAGGAATGCCTCCCGAGGCATCTAATCTTGGTTGACTTCTAAGCCGTGTTCCAGATAACGCTCCCTTCCTGCGGGGGCATGTGCGGCCGAGCAGTGAGCGTGCCCGCGCAGGGTTCTGTTCCAGCAGCCTCAGGAAGCGCCGCGTCGGGAGGCTATTTGCAGCCCACTCTTTACTTGCATCTCTTCACTAAAATAACAGCTGGCAAGTCCTGTTGTCGGCAAGCACATCTGCCCCTGAGTCTGACAGCGGGACCGGTTCTCTTCTGAGAGGCAACTGTCTCGCACCTGCTGCTACAATAGTCCGTCCTCAGCCACCTGGCTGTGTCTCCCCAAGGTGGCTGTGTGAGTCGGCTCCCACATGCCGGGCCGTCAGTACACTGTGTCCAATTCTCTATCCCGAGTAATTTGACGGCCCTGGCCAGGTGCTCAGTGGTTAGAACACTGACCCTTGGACTGAAGGGTCTTGGGTTCGATTCCCAGTCAAGGGCACGTACCTGGGTGGCAGGTTAGATCCCTGGCCCCGGTCGAAGCAAGAGCAGGAAGCAACCAATCGATGTGCCTCCCTCACATCAATGTTCCTCTCTCTCATTCTCTCCCTCTTCCTCCCCTCCCACTCTCTCTAAAAAACCAATGGAAAAAATATCCCCAGGTGAGGATTAAAAGAAAAAGAGTAATTTGTCGCACAAAGGAAGAAGTGACAGAGGAAGGCAGGAGAGCAGCAACAGCAGTCTCGGCAGAGCAGGTAACGGCCACACACTGTGGCGGTGAGGACGAGGAATCTGGATTCAAATCTGGCTCTGCCCACCTAGGGGCCTAGAGTGACAGCTGTCAGCTGCGTCACGTCCCTCGGCACCTGTCCTCCTGCACAGAACAGGGATGACGACTTTGACCCTGTGGCGATGTCTCGAGGATGAAATTACTGTTCTCCATACTCTTGGACACCACTAGTGCCCTATACTCCTTGCTGCTCTCAGAAACAATGCTTCACACTGAGAGTCTGGAATCAACGTTTATATCCCCAAACACTTCAGAAGGCTCTGCACCAACGTGGGGGAATGCCTAAAGAAATTGGACTGTGTTGCACATATCACATGAACAGAATCTTCCCATGAATATTGAGTTGCCCTGTTGATTTAAACCCGAGTCTGCTTTCAGTGTTAACCTCGTCTCATCGCCTACCTTTCAAAGTGCTGTTTCATTTGTTTGCATGCGTAGTAGTTTCCATCCCTCAAGCTCTGCATCTTCATAACTTCAGAAAATGTTCCCTCGCCTATTTTGCCAATTGCTTTGTAGTCTATAAATAAAAACAATTATGAAAATAGATTTTATTTATACATATATTTTGTACTTGTTTCCAGACAGCGAAAGTTTTACTTGTAAGAATATCGGCAGTTGCCTGGCTGGTGTTGCTCAGTGGTTAAGCGTCGACCTGTGAACCAATCAATGATTCTCTCTCATCATTGATGTTTCTGTCTCTCTCCCTCTCCCTTCTTCTCTGAAATCAATAAAAATATATTTCAGAAAAGAGATAATTGGCAGCATGTACTGAGGACTGTTTCTCCTTTTTTCTAAGGCTCAGCGTTCCCCCCACTTTGTTTTCTCTCTGCCATCCCCCCCCAGCAGGGAACCACGTGATTGGCATCCTGGGGAGATGAGAGGCTCATACCCCACAAGATGTGGAAAGCAGAGGCACAGGTGGCCCGCTGGGGTGGTTCTGGCAGGAGCGCTCACATGGGCCTGGGCATTCGGCAGAGGAGACACTGTACCAGCAGCCTCGGAGCATTCTTCTGAAGGCCACCTCTCGGTCCCACGGAGGCCCAGCTGAGCCGCCAAGCTTCCTGCAATTCTTGCAATTCCTGATTTCCTGAAACTGACAGCAGCAGCCCCTGGCCTTGTGCTGCCACCACCACCACTGCCCCCCTGCACAGATAATGGTTTTACAAGGGTAGATCCCTTCCTGCTTGAAATGCCTAGTTTCTGCTTTACAAACCAAACCCTGACAGATTCAGACATGAGTATCTTAAAGTGGGGTGTGGCTGCTAACAAAAACCTGAAAAATGCAGGCACTGGAGAGCGCAGGCTGAACCAGGGAGAGCCTGGTGAATGGTGACCAGATCCTGCTGCCTTCCCCAGACCAAGTGTCTGCTGGGCTGCTGGCCTTTTCCCTTTGGCCCAGGGAGAGCGGGAGGAAGGGTCACAATGACGGGATGTTGTTTCAGGGACTCTTGGAGGCTCCGGTGGAACGAGATACAGAGAATAAGAGCAAGACTAAAAAGAAACAAGGCAGCTTGAGAGGGAGGTTTAGAATTGAACCTTATGTGTAGAACTCACAGGAAGCAAATAGATCAGAAACCTATTAAATAAAAATGTCCCTCACGCCCTATCTGGTTTGGCTCAGTGGATAGAGCATCGGCCTGCGGACTGAAGGGTCCCAGGTTCGATTCCAGTCAAGGGCATGTACCTTGGTTGTGGGCACATCCCCAGTGGGCGGTGTGCAGGAGGCAGCTGATCGATGTTTCTAACTCTCTATCCTCCTCCCTTCCTCTCTGTAAAAAAATCAATAAATATATTAAAAAAAATGTCCATCACCTTCAGATCCCAAACCTGCATCAGCACAGAGCAGGCCTGTGAAACTTCAGCCTCAAGGGGGTAGCCTCTTCCACACCCCTTCGATACGGCACATTTTAAAAAATATGTATTTTTATTGATTTCAGAGAGGAAGAGAGATTGAAATATCAATGATGAGAGAGAATTATTGATCAGGGGCCTCCTGCACGCCCCAAACTGGGGATTGAGCCCGAAACCTGGGCATGTGCCCTGACCAGGAATTGAACCATGACCTACTGGTTCAGAGGTCAACGCTCAACACTGAGCCACGCCAGCCGGGCGATGTGGCACATTTTAAAAAACTGTGTGAGTTCTGATCTGATCATACCAGCAAGAAAAAAAGGTACTTTTAAAAAGAAGTAATAAAGTTTTTTAGAAATGATATGTAATTTTAAAATATTCCTAAAAAGAAACAAGGAAGCTTGAGGAGTCAAGTTCCTACTTAGTTTGTTTTCCTAAGAAACTCTGAATGTAGACTACCATTCAAGTGCTCTTAAATTTGGTTGTTCTAAAATGTTCTCTTCCTTTCCTTTCCTGTCAGTAACTTGCATAGGACTCAACGCAGGTGCAGGTTGTGGTGCGGCAGGGTCCACGTGACGTGGCACAGCCGATGAGGAAACCAACGTGGCTGTGCAGCAAGACCACCGAGGACGTCCCACACCACCCCTGGCAATGGCGCGGCTCTGGGGGAGAAGAGGGTACGGTAGACTCTCACCTTCTGCCTAATATTCAGCATGGCACAAATATTCCACAGTAAGCATGAACTGCTTGTTTATTTTTAATTTTTAAAAATTAACTTCTAGCTTCCTCAGTCGGCTCATGGTAGATTCCTGGTCAGGACACAAGCCCCATTGCAGGCTCGATCCTCAGTAGGGGGCATACAGGAGGCAGACGATCAATGATTCTCTCTCATCATGAATGTTTCTATCTCTCCCTCTCTCTTCCTTTCTGAAATCAATTAAAAAATATATTTTAAAAATGGCCAACTGTACACTTTAAAGTGGGTTTGGTACAAACTCCAAGTGTGGGCCAACATTGCAGGCACCTCCAGACCATCGAAATCAGTCGGCAACAAATGGAACCTGCAGCCCTGGAGGTGGCTGGCTGTGGTGGGAAAAGGGTCACTGCTTCCTCCATGGCTCTGTCAGTAACAGAAGGTCTGGTTACAAAACAAGAATGAAGGGGGGTGGGGGTGAGGTAGAGAACGGCCCCCTCTCATCTCCAACAGAACCCACGTAGTTCACAGGCCTTGAGAGTCAGACAAGAAATATGAAGATACTAGTACACACAACGCTGTGAAGGGTGCAGAGCTGAGCTAGGGACAGTCCCTGCCCCACATTAATGGGACTAGAAATAGTCACCCAAAACAAAACCAACCATCTACCCAGACTCAAGGACAAAGAGGACTTACTATAACCGAATAAAAAAGGTGGAAAAAGGAAAATAAATGAGATCATTTGTGTTCATTAAGATTCTATTCACTTTTTTATTTTTATTATTGTTTGAAGTATTACAAATAGTAGTACATATGTCTCCTTTTTTCCCTCCCCGCCCCCCCAACTGTTCACTTTTATGAAACCAAGGCTCTTTTGTTTAAGTGGAATCTAAACCTTATTTAACCGTGAAAGTGGAGGTCAAGTTCACTTTTTGTGAAAAGAGCAAGTTGTCACGCCCAAGTGCAAACATTGTATTCAAGCACTGCTCCTGAAGCTCTGGATCACGCAGGTGACGTGCAGCAGAGCCGTGGGGCCCAGCCAGCGGAGGAATGGAAAGAACTGGGGGAGGTTAATCGCTATGTTCGGGGCATGTGCCTGGACCACAGTTGTCAGGGAGAAGATTCCGCTTCTAACGTCTACTCTTTTCAAGAGATTAAGGAATTCAAACCAAATGACGAAAACAAGGTCAGGAACCTCCAAGTAAAAGTTCCGCACCCAATTAATTACTCGGTGTAGTGAGGAAAACGGTGACCTGAATTACCAAACATCCTGAAAACACAAAGGGACAGAAAATTATTCCTAACTGCACGAACATCTTACATTTCAATTGCACCCTGCTCTGGCCGGCGAGGCTCAGTGGTTAGTGTCGGTCAGAGCACCAAAGGGTCTCGGGTTCATTTTCCCGTCAAGGACACATACCTGGATTGCAGGTTTGATCCCAGCCCTGGTCAGGGCCCGTGCGGGAGGCAACCAATCCACGTGTCTCTCTCACATCAATGTTTTTTTCTCTCTCTCCCTCTCCCTACCCCTCTGACTCTCTCTAAAAAAAATCAATGCAAAATATATCTTCCAGTGAGGATTAACAACAACAACAAAATTAAACACTAAAATTTAAATTGCACCCTTTGGCCCTGGCTGGGTAGCTCAGTTGGTTAGAGCTTTGTTCCCGATATGACAAAGTTGTAGGTTTGATTCCTGGTTAGGGCACATGCCTGGGGTTGTGGACTCCATCCCCAGTAGGAGATGTGCAGGAGGCGGCCGATCAATGTTTTCTCTCTCCCTTTCCCTCTTCTCTCTCTCAAATCAATAGAAACATATTTTTAATATATATTTTTGTTATTGATTTCATAGAGGAAGGGATAGGGAGAGGGAGAGATAGTAATGTCAATGACGAGAGAGAATCACAGATCACAGCCTCCTGCACGCCCACATCAAAGATCGAGCCTGTAACCCGGGCATATGGCCTGACCGGAAATCAAACCATGACCTCCTGGTTCATAGGTCTACACTCAACCACTGAGCAACACCAGCCAGGCAATAAAAACATATTTTTTTTTTTAAAAAAAAAGACACAAAAGGCAGGACACTGCCAAATTAAAGGAGACCAAAGAAATAGGACATCAAAATGCAATTTGTGATTTTTGATTGGATCCTGGAAAAAATAAAAACACCTATAATGAACATTATTGGGATGACTGGGAAAATCTGAATTATAGACTGCATGCTCGATGACAATATTGTGCCAACATGCTAGTTGTACTGTGACTGTGTAGGACTATGTCCTTGTTCTTAGCACACACTTGCTGAATTGCTAGTGCTGAAATATCATGCTGTCTACAACTAACTGTCAAAGGTTCAGCAAAAATAAATGCGTCGCTTAGAGAGAAAATGCCAGAACATAGTGGGGCATCTAGGTGAAGGGTTTATAAACATTCAAGGAACTCTCCTTGCAACTTTTCTGTAGCTTCAAAAATGTGCAAAATAAATAGTTGGAAAGGAAAAAAGGAATATGGTACAGAAATGCGTGTGCTGTATATAAGTTCACACTATAAGTAAAAGTGCAAACCTTTTGCACTTCTGTAGACCTTGCACTCTAACCACAGCTTTGGGTGCATTCGAGAGAGAGACAGACAAGTACACAGTATCCAACAGGAGAACATAAGAATGCTTGTACAGGGTGAGTGAGAGAAGTCAGTTATTTTTAATATCTTTGCCACACAATTGAGGCCATATACCACTACTAACTGACAATTAGGATAGGATGCAAATTTAACATTACAACTACCTAACGTAATTAATCTTTCCACAGCAAAGGAGGTCGGAATTTTTTTGCACCTTCGACTCATCGGCTCTTCCAGCCCAGGGGGGCTGGGCTCCCCCCGAGTGACGCCCCAGGCGACGAGGCCCG